GATGAGAAGCACACTGGGTGCCACTGTTATTGCTGTTAGACCTGTGCTCTGCCAACCTGAGAACCAGGGTCTGATAATGGACAGGCAGTAGTCCCTGGTGAGAGGCATTTGGTCATACATGTTTGCATGATATCCCTGTCCTGGGAGGATCCCAAAGGAATTCACTCTTGGGTGCCTTCACGGACCCACGTCCACCAGGTTGCCACAAAAAAGCTTCTAGGCAGGGACAGAAAGGTCCCCTCCCATGCCCAGGGCCAAAGGGAGGCCTGATCCAGGGTAGAGCTACTGAATGTTTTCAAAGATAAGGCTCCACAGGACACCTGTGAGCATCCAGACAGGAGAAATAGAATCCCAGGCACAAACCAGCTCTCCTAAAGCATCCCTATAACACACACACCAGAGAGCCAAGCTTATTCTGGCATTTACTCTCACTCAGTGACTTGCTGCTTTCAGGGAACAGAGGTGTAGTAAAATAAAGCTTGGGCCACACTATGGCTCACTGTTCCCAAAGTTCGATGCTCTTTATCATCACTGTGTGTCTTTGCCAGACAGCAAACCCTCCCACAGCAGTGTGAGCCACATCGTGCCCAGCCTGAGATGATGGGGGCACGGAGGCTACCAGGCCTGTCTCCCTAAGGAAGTATCCATCAGCTGGTTCATTTGGGGGGTAAAAGAGGGACACTTTTGCTTTTAAGGTTTGAGAGCACAGCTGCCACAGCCAAACATGGCTCCTCACCTCTCCCCATCAGATGGTGGGAGCTCACCTGTGATGGCTTGAGGATCCTCTAAGATGCACTACATGAGGGTTTGTTGCCTGGAGTTTGCTCTGAAGGAGGGTTCCTGGCTTTACCCCCATGCAGGAAATGCACTCGTTAATGCAGATATTGATGATACAATGACTACATCAATATCTTTCCTGAAGTCTACTTCCCTGTGGGAGCCCAAGTGAGTCACAACCAACAGCCAAGCACCCGCTGCCCTTCTGTAAGCCAACACTGCTGGGTTTTGTTACACCCTGCCCAGTTCAGTACCCCTCACCCACAGCCTCAGTGCCCATTTTCACTGACAGAGCTGATTTCCAGTGTTAGCTTTGCCCTGTGGTGTCTATAATCCATATATCCTGACCATGAGCCTATAGAGGTTGAAGTGGAGACACCGCTGGACTGAAGTCCTGACCACCCTGCATGCAGAGCGGCTGCACTGCTGCACCAGGACTATGCCCACTCCCAGCTGCACCCTGTGGAAGCTTGGCAATATCACCCTGTACCCAGCTCATCCCAAAAGTTCAATTTTTCCCTCTGAAACTGCTATGGTGAATCCCCTATGGCTCCAACCAGCTGTGGGCAATGGCAGAGCCATTCCTGCATGCTCTGAGGTAAAACTCATTCTTCACATGAAGAGCCCAGCCCTGGAGGGGTTCAAGGTTAGGGAGCTCAAATAGGAGGCAACAGAGGCTGCTTTGATGTCTGTGCAACATGCAAACACATGTGCACACCAGGCTGGCTGCCTGAATTGGTTTCTACAGGGCCAATAATGCTGGCTGTGGTGGATGTGCTGCAGGGAGGCCTCTTCAAGAGCCATCGTGCTGGAGTAGGGATGGGAACGTTCTCCCTTCACAGCTAAACACACCACTTTTAATCCCTCTGCTGCCAATTCCCGGATCCGTAAACAAGGAGCCACAATCAGTTACAGATGTACTGCCTTTGGACAAAACCATCCCCGCATTTGCAAAATCTCCGCACCTTCCTAGGCAGTGCATAGGTTTGTCCCTGCTACATAACTCCTGCATACCAACAGCCCGAAGGCAGGGTCTGGGGTACCTGCTAAGTAAAGGTACTTTAATAATACTATTAAGGAAGCTGCTGCCCTGCAACACCTTGGTGTGGAAGCGCGTGTGTGGGAGAAGCCCCCCAAAAAGCCTCCCCACTGTGACCCGCTCCCATGCGGATCACAGCTACTGCACCTGGCCAGTGGGAGCAGCGCAGCTCAGCCACGAGCAGTTCTATTTTGGTCTCCAGGGAAAGGGTCCATGCTCCGGAGCAGCAGCTCTGATTTCTGCCTATGCCACCGTTTCTGAAGTGTCAGTGCCTGTGGCAGGTCCAGGCCAGTGAACACCAGCCCTGTGCCTGTGTGTCTGCACAGCGAGCTCAGCTCTCAGTTCTGTGTTGTGCTTTCAATCATATCATTTGGAACTGGATGAGCTTAAGGTCCTTTCCAACCCTAACTATTCTATGATTCTATGATTTTTCGGCTTGTGTTCAAGCTGTCCTACAGGGCTGATGGTGGCAGGTCTCCTGCCACACTGTGTTAAAACCTCTGACGGGTTTAACACTCCCCCTGCTTGGTTGAATCCAGAGCTCTCACCAGCTCAAGGTCTGATACAGTGCTTTAGGTCAGCAGCCGACCACCTGCTGCAGATCAAAGAACCACAGAATGGTTTGGGTTGGAAAGGACCTTAAGATCATCCAGTTCCAACTCCCTGCAATGGGCAGGGACACATCCCACTAAACCATGTCACCCAAGGCTCTGTCCAACCTGGCCTTGAACACTGCCAGAGATGGAACATTCACAACAATCATCATCAGTGGCTCCCTGGCCACTCACAAGGGTTTGATGGTGCTTTTGGGTTATAACCCCAGATCATGGCAGCTTTTAAGAGATGGGACAACTCAATGCCTGCATCTGCCTTCCCTCACACTCATTTCCCTCCGCATCCCCTTCTGCAGGCTGAACCTGGACTTTAGACCTGCCAAGCAATCCTCATGGAAAGGATGAAGATATTTTCAGTGACATGGATCTACCTGGCTTAACCCACTATCCAGGGCAGGATGTGGATGACAGGCCACAGCCTTTCAGGGTTGCACTCAGCTCAATGATGCTGTTAACAGGTTGCCTCATGCCAAGCAGCTCCATTGCTGCAGACCTGGTCCCCTCCAGGGTCTGCTGGTTGCATCATCTGCAGTGATTCTGTTGGAAGATGCTTGCTGGAAGGCATGGGGCACTTAAAATGCCGAAGAAACCCAACAAAGGTGATTTTGCTACTCAAAACACTCTCACAGCTTAAACAGTATTCCCTGACATGCAAATAATAGGTGGCACTGCTGTAAAGAAGGGTGGACCACTGCCCTGAAAGGGTAGATTGGATGAGCAGAAGGAGAGCTTGGCACTGGTGCCCTTGTATTTGCATTTTATTTTATGCATGTGCTGTGGCTCAGTGCTGCTCTAAAGCATTTTCTGTCCCCAGGGACTGCAGCCACCCTTCAGACACAACAGCATCTAACTGAGGGGTTTTCACTCTTCCTCCCACTGGCGAGCCACAGCAGGAGATGGAGGTGGGATAGGCAGGGGATGGCCAACGCTCCTGGTGTGGAGCTTCCAGCATCAGCAGACACACACCCCACAGCTCTGCTGCCTGCCTTCAGCCCTGGCACCACTGCATCTGCACATGCAGTCCTCCAGTGCTTGTTTTTCTTAGGGATTTGTGGTTTTTTTGAGGGTGAATACGTAACACCGTCACTTGCAAGCGCCAGATGTTGCTGAACGCCTGATAGCCGCCAGTAGCGCAGCCAGGGAACTGTTGGCAACGTGACCTGGATTAGGGCAGTTTATCCCTGAGGCCCTGCAGGAAGCTGCTCACCATGTCTGTTTTCTTCAGCTCTCAGCCCCAAGCACTGATCAGGTAAGGCCGATGGTTGCTCCATCCCAATGGCCGCCTCGTCCCAATGGCTGCCCATCCCTTCCCATGGGATTGGAGCTGCTCCTGGGAACCCAGGAACGCCCCACGTACAATGCCCCCAGGTAATGCCAACCAGCAATATGAAAATCAGTGTGTTGAGATCCATACACTACAGCACAGGGTAAATACATTGTAATCCTAATTCAAAATGTCCTGTATTTACAGAATGTCCCATAGTGCATCTCCGGCTGTGAACATGCTCCCTCAGCCTGGGCTTGAGTGCAAGACCCCTGTGTTTTTAATGTTCAGTACCTAACACTTCTGCTACCAAATGCCAGTGCATGCACACAATAAACTATGTATATATATATCATACATACTTCCACATGCAATATTGCTATATATATTTATGTATCTTTCATCATATTTATCTATAAAATAAAAAAATAATTAGTATTATATATAAAAATGAAATATAAACCCACATGAATATATAAAAAATAGGTACATAAAACATTATATACATGTTATACATAAACCATGTTATATACACGTTATAGATGTTTTATGTATGTGTACATACATAAAACTTTATGCAAGTATAAAATATATACATATGAAGCATATATTTAGAACCCATTCTATACAGAAAAATTTCTGTGTTCTCTATATAGAACCACATACTACATTGTATATATAGCCTGCATGTTTTCACAAGGTTCTAAATTTGTCTGTATGTTCAGATTCTGTATATTTCTATAAATAGAACACAATTTTGTAATACATGAAAATGTAAACCACATTCATAAGTATTAACAAACATGCCTGTGTAAATGCTTGCGTTATTTGTATCAATAAATCGAATATAGGAATGTATCTGGAATACACATTATATCTGGAATTGCAATATGCATAAGATGTTACGTTTATATGTATCTGTAACCGATAGTTGATGTTTTACCAACGGAACGCGAGCACCCGCACTCCTGCGCAGGACATGCACTCACTCACGTCTTGCCCCTGCTCAGCCCCTGTGACCACGCCCCCTCTGACAAAACCACGCCCCCTTACAGCAAAGCCCCGCCCCTCGCCCCGCCCAGGGCCTCTCGCGGAGGGCGGGGCGGTGCCGATAAACACCGCCACGTGCGGCGCGGCGGGGGCGGGGTCAGCCCCGCGCTTCCGGCAACACTGCGCTGCATAAATAGCGCGGCGCTGCGCGGCGCCCGCAGCCCTGCGGCACCCTCGGCGCTCCCGTGCTGCGCTCCGGCTCCGGTCCCAGTCCCGGTCCCGGTCCCGTTGCCGCTCCTGCTCTCGGTGTCGGTCCGTCTCGCCGCCATGCCGTTCCTGGGGCAGGACTGGCGGTCCCCCGGGCAGAGCTGGGTGAAGACGGCTGACGGATGGACGCGCTTCCTCGACGAGAAGAGCGGCGGCTTCGTCGGCGACATCAGCAGGTACCCGCGGCGGCTCGGGCTGGTCCCCGCTCCTGCCCCCCCTCAAGGCGGTGCCGCCAGGGGGCGCCGCGGTGCGGCTGCACGGCGCTGGGGGGGGGGGGCGGTAAGATGGACGGCGGCGTCTCCTCTCTCCCGGGCTGGGGCCGGCTGGGGGAGGCTCCTGTGCGGAGCTGCCGGTAGCGCTGAGGCGAGGGGGCTCGGTGTCTTTCCCCCGCGCATGTGACGGACCCAGAGCCCGTCTCCCTCAGCCCCGGCGGCGGTCCGGGCTGTCGATGCACAGAGGCCGTTGTCCCTCTCGGTTGTGCGACGGGAAAGAAGGGGGTGAAAACAGTCGCAGCCGCACGGCTTGGGCGGTGTGCCCACGGGGAGCATCGCTGAGCCTCTCCTGTGGGAATCTAGTGATATCCCCCTGCTGAAACAGCCCTGGCTGGGGCTTCCCGGCTCTTGGGCTGGAGCGGGATGATGTGTTTGAAGCCATGAGTAATGTACCTTCCGTGCTGCTTGACTAATCTGCCTGCACAACATCAACAAGCCCCGAGCTACGGCGCGCAGGAAGCCTGTGCAGCAGTGTGGGTGTTCGTGGTCTCCGGCCAGGCTGCTCCTGTCAGAACCAAGCGTTTCTCAGAGCTGCATCTTGTTTTCAGTTAGGTTTGGGCTGAGGGATGGGTCAGGAATGTCCATGGCAAAGGGACGTGGAGCAAACAGGGATTTGCTGTGAGCCGTTGCTGAAATGTTGTTGTGCAGGGAGGTTTATGTAGCAGGTCTCCCTTTTGTGCAAGCGCTAAGTTAAAATGAAGTTCAGAATGGAAAGCATCTCACTTGTAAGTAGGTAGGAAAATGGCTGTTAATAATGTGATTGTGTTGGGAATACTGGCTTTGCCATGGGTTTATGCATCCTTTTTCGCATTAAAAAGCGAGCAGGTGACATACTGGCCCCAGTCTGGGGTCCTTCCAGTGCCAGGTGCTGGTGTCCAACTGTTCAACCTGTCAAGATGTCTTGGAGAAGCGTGTGGAAACCTGGCAGTACATAAACAGGGGATAATCTGCCTCCCATGCTGGAATTCATCCATTGCTGTTATGAAGGTTTCAGATTACAGAGTCATTCAGTAGGAAGTCAACAGTCAGCGGTGTGCTGTTGGCACATAAGATTTAAAGCAGATCCATCTTGTGCTCTTGGGCCTGGATTCTGCCACTGCATGGGGTGTGTTGACCCATTATTGATAAGATGCGAGCTCAAACATCTCAAACCTGCTTCTTCCTTACTGCCATGCTCTGTTCTTGGGCTTTGGTCCCCTACCAGAAAGCAGCATGGATGGGGGAGATGTGCAGCTGAGCTCTTAGGTTTAGGTAATCCTGGTGAAAGTGTCAGGCTCCCTGAGCTGTTACTGTGGATACTGTGCACCTGCACTGCTGCTGTTCCCCTCGTGCAGTGTGGTGGTGGAACCTCCAGGAGTTGCTGCAGTTGTCCTCTGTGAGGAGGACATGGAGCAGGAAGGGGGAGCTGATGCTCTTGATGTCCTGAAGCCAGGGAAGTTTCTTCTGCACTGGGAGCCATGTGAGATGCCAAACCAGAACACCCATCTGGAAGAGGTCTGGGTCCCTCATGGGGCTGAAAATGACTTGGTCACTTGGTTCCCATGTATGCTGCTGGCGTGGCTGTGCTGACAGATGTCAAACAGGAGAGATGAGGAACCTTGTCCCTCAGGTTTCATTCCCTTGCAGGAGCCTGGGCTGGGTAGCTGTCAGAGGTGTGAGCTGGTATGGTGCTTCTGTAGTCTTTTGGAGGCAACATAAACATGAGGTCTGTAGAGGAAGCAGTCTATGTGAAGGTCCTCATGGCTGTTGTGGAGGAAGCTTGCCCAGGGCTGTAAGCAGCAACTCTCAAGGGCCTGCCAGAGCTCCAGGGGTGACCCAGCCACAGCAGCTGAGAGGTGCAGTGATGTGCCTGGGACCCTTCTTTGAACTCAGAGCTACAAAGTGCCACCTCCCATCCCCTGTGAGCTGCTGGGGCAATGGGGGAGCTGTCGGTTTCATTCTCTTGCATGCATTTCCTGTCTTCACAGCATCTCCACATGTAGATATCATTCCCACGGCTCTGGGCAGCATGGTGGGTGCGGGGTCCTCTGGTGTGAAAGCTCCTGGTGGGTGCTGCCACCCCCATGGATCTGTGCTACAGTGATGTGACTGTCTGAGGGCTTCCCAGTTTCACATTGCTACATGGATCTGCTCATTTGCAGGTCTGAAGAATGTGGAGATGTTGATGCAAATCTTCTTTATAGATAGTCTTTCGTTGGCCTTGGAGGAAATAAGGGGTTATAGCTCTCTGCAGTAATCATATAGTTACAGCAGAGAGCTCCAACAAAAGCAGATGGGCAGTCTTGAACTAGAGATCCTAGCTGTTAATTTGTATAGTCACTACTATGTGGTGTTTGGAAAGCCATCAGCAGAGTCTGGACCTCAGCTGAGCTTGAAACAATGTTTTGTGGGGACTCTTGTTAATAAATATTTTGAGTGTATATATATGTCCTCAGATATCTAAATATGTCTGTCTGTGGAAGTCTGAATGGCTCAGAGGAATTTACCACTTGCAGCAGGAAGATACGGTGCTACATAAAGATAGAAACAGGTTAAAGAAAGGAAAATACTGCCCAGTAGTGTCCCAGCACTAACTGTGCAATCTGTTTTACTTGTTTCTGTTTGTTATGGGTATCGTAGCACAGAAAGGAGACACCAGAGGCCCATTTAAGAATACCATTGCTGGGTGCAAAATCTGCATGTAGACCTCTTGAGAGCAGCCTGCAAGGAGACAGCTTTGGAGCTCCCAGAGAAAACCTGTGTATTTTCTCTCCTTGCAGGAAACATAGTGTTCAGCAGACTGCAGAAATAAACAGAAACCTTGCTTTGTGTCATTCACAGCTTTTGCAAGAAGGATGATCACAACAAAGAGAATCTCTTCAACAGCCTGAACTATGATGTTGCTGCCAAGAAGAGAAAAAAAGACCTGCTGAATAACAAAGCCAAGATTCAATGTAAGATATCTATTTGGGCTTTCTTTTTTAAGAGGAGTTGCTGCAATATGATGGAAAATGCTTCATATCTCTTGTTTTTTGCAGTTTATGAAGCCTTCCAGAGTGTCTTGAAGGGCTTTGCGCCCATGTTTGACCTAAGTAGAGAACTTGGATACGGTTTAATGTGAAGATTTATGCCCCTGTTCTAATCCTTGCTCTGAGGAGTTGTGCTTGTTCTGTTCAAATTTGTCATTTGTGCTTGTCAGAAGGAGGGTAATTTTTTCCTATGGTACATTCAAATGAACCAGTTCCAGGGTTTGGTTCCCCCCCTCCCCCCTACCCCATAGACTTCCTTGTGCACAATAAGCTAAATTTATTCTTCCTTCCATATGCATGTTGAGCACTAATCTACATTACTGGAGGCTATAAGCCTGAATGCGAGCTTTGATCCTATCTCTGTGCGCGGAGTGCGTGAAAAATGAAATAAGATTTCAGCTCACTCAAAACAATGGAAGGTTTGAAATCTCTGTGAGCTCAGTGAGCAGCAGGGTTCTGGATGGTGCACTGTGGAGGACTCGGGGGAGCCTGCAGGGGCAGCAGGGTCTGTGTTGATCTGATTGGAAGATAGGTACTAGAGTTCAATGTGAGGGCTACAAATGTAAACACACACAGAGGAAATGAGTTACAATTCCCACACTACTATTAGCTCATTGTGCATCCCCCAGGATTTCAGAAACTGGTGCCAGAAGTTGGCCCCTCAGTGTATTTGGTTCTCTGAACAAACAAATGTTACCATGACAGTTTTTGGCTGGATTCTGCTGTGACCTACTATTTAAAAGGGCCTGGTGAAGGGTCTGCACATCTGTAATTGAGATGGGCTGGCCTTGGGCTCACAGTACCAGGCAGCAGTGACATCACTGCATCCTTAGGTGGAAGGACTCCAGAAGTCTGATATTTTCTTTAAGGAAAGAAGTCTAGCAGGACAGGGAGAATAATTTTCCTTACACTAGCTGTTGATTGACAGTGTGTGGTGGAAGTAGTGTCAAAAGCCTGTGGGAGGAGGATTGAGCAGCAAAACTGCTTACAATAAGGGCTTTACTGCAAACCAAGTCAGTGTGTGGTAGGTACAGGAAAGCTATTTTGGGGAGTGGATGGGACAACTCCCATTTCTGAGGGAAGGGAGGGGCAATTAGAAATAGGAAAATTTTGGTCCCAAATAGGTTTTTCTTTTTTAGCAAGTTAGCTGCAAGCACAAGCATGCTCCTCTGAGCCTGACCTCACTGCTAAAAGCTCTCTCCCACATGCCTGGTGTATCATGACATTTTTGCTCAACTTCAAATTTGACATTCAATCCCAAGCCTGTAACCAAGGTAATGAATAGTTAATAAAATCAATAACAACAGAACCTGGCTGTCAGCCACACTTACTGTCTGGGACCAAAGAAGAGGAGGTGCTATGGTATATCTGTGGCTGGCAGATTAAACATTTAGAGTCTTGAGCTGTGTCACTGAAACAGAAGCCCTCTCTAAGGCTCAGGGCTGCAGTCTCAAATGAAGGAGTATGGAAACAAAGCAGCTTAGCAAGTTGCTAGATTTGGTTTCAAGTGAGATGGTTTAAACACGAAATAACTTCATTTGCACTAAAAGGGCAGTGAGTGTTATGAGCAGAACAGAGATCCAGCCCTCTGAGGTGGGAGATTAACTGAGCAAAATGTCTTTATCCAAACAGATTTCCACCAGGAGAAGTGGATCTATGTTCACAAGGGGAGCACAAAAGAGGTGAGTGCCTCCACAGGTTCTTTGTTCCATTTTCTACTGTGTTTTCCACACAGTGGGAGATACTGTATTGATATAAATCACCGGAAGCTCTTCAGAGATAAGTAGAAGATCTGGCTTGTGGTTGAAATTTCAGTAATGATTTTAAGCCCCAGTCAGGGAGCCAGGGCTTGCTGTACATGTGTTTAAAATATGACTTGCTTGCTTCCCTCAGTTAAAAACAAAAAACAAAACCAAAAAAAACAGCCATTTGCAGACCAAGCCATAATACTGTTCTTGGCTTTCATCCAGAACAATCCTAACATGGAAAACCGTTGGAATTCATCACAAGGCCTTGCTTGTGCTCATGGAGAGAAGCAGCTGTATGAGACTGCTCTGAACTTGCCCTACATATTGAACCATGGGAATGTGTGGCTCATTCTCACCAGTAAATTCATGGGTCATGAGCAGATCTTGGGTCCCTGTTGAGGAAAATACCTTAAATCTACATCTGGCCATGCCCACTCCTGATGTCAGTAAGTGTGGCTCTGTGGGAGGCCTCCTCCAGCTGCAAGCTGCTCCCATGGTTTGTAACCATGAGCTTGCTCAGTTGAGTTTGCCCTGGGTCACATCTACCTGGTACTGTCTGGACTCATGTTGGCCAAAACATGACCCAGACTGTGGTGTTGTTTTTTCCTCAGCGCCATGGTTACTGCACCTTGGGGGAAGCCTTCAACCGACTTGACTTCTCCAGTGCTATCCTGGACTCCAGGAGATTCAACTATGTTGTGAGGGTGAGTGAAAGGCCAGGGTTTATTTTGCTGTGATGGTGGTAGAGGCTCTGAACTGAGCTGCAATTGGGTGATAGGAAGCACTTGCTAAGAGAGGCCCAGGTGTGAAAGGAGGGGGTGTTGTGCTTTGCTACATGAAGTAGTTGATGGTAACTGTGTTGATAGATGCCCAAAACTTCCTCTTTGATCTGTTGAAATGGAGAAGCACATAGGTGGTGGTAACATAGGTGATGGGCTGTCCTTAGCCTAGCATTCCTACTACTTTTCAATTGTTAAATTCACTTCTGAAACCCAGAGAACTTAGTTTTTCATCCCTGACTTCTCAGTTCAGCTTAAGTGTAACTTCTGTAGCTCCCAAAGGGAGCATGGCCTCTCTGCAGAGGCCATAGAGCAGCAGAAATCTCTGTGCAGAAGGCTTCAGCTCCATGAGGGCTGTGAAGCTTTATCTTGCTTGAAGTGATAAAGGAGAAACACTGAGGAGCTGAGCATTTTGGGAATGAGAGGTTGGGCTAAACCTCTTGGAGGCACTGCTCAACTTCTGTAAGGATCATGGTTGCTCTAAATACTGTGTGAGTAACAGTGGTTTCAGTGGGTGAAACATTTGGTTACTCCTGACACCGTTAGTTGGTAGGAGGAAGGCATCAACCCCCAGTTCCCCATACTCTGGCTTTGTGTAACAGGTCTTTTGGCTCTGTGTGGCTGAGGGGCGTGGTAGTGGCTGGGGAGCTACTGTCTCAAGGACTGTGGATGCTTGTATATTATGCGCATGTGATCTGCAAATTGATCTTGAACTTCAGATGTTTATCAAGGTTTGGAATTCAACAAGCTTAAAAAAAATCTGTTATTAACTTGAGGCTGTTTATAAACAGCTCCTTTTCACGTCTCATCAGCAGCTGATCACTGATGAGGCACCAGCTGTTCAGGTTTTAGGTTCTGGAGCAAGCAGCATTGGTATTGCTTTCCCTTTGAGTCAAATGTCATGAAGTGTCTAAGGAAGAAGTGATCTGAGCAGGTTCACCATGGTTTGTCTAGGTGACAAGTAGCCTGTGGAACCCTCTGTCAGCCTGGGAAGGTATCTTGCATAGGACTGCAGTGATCGAGCAGAATTCCTATTTAACATTTTGAATAGTGAACTGAAATTTCAGTGAGGCTGGTGTGGTCTGGTGGGGAGGCTCTGGCTGACCTGCTTCCCCCTTTTTTCCGTAAAGCATCCTGAATCTGCTGTGTCCAAAACAGCAGTTTTCTGTATGGAAGTCGGCATGTGTCCTTGTTTCTACAGATTGGCTCTCTTTTGAGCTTTTAAGAATAGTTTTCCCTCGGTAGTTTTAAGGATACAGCACTACTGAGAAGTATGAAGCTTCCTAATTGAGGCTGACTTGTGGTTTGGCAGATTAAAGAAGGTATTAAACCTGGTACCATGGATCAAATAGAAAACTGGCTTCTTAAAATGAAAGACTTGTATCAGCCAAGTCTCCAGTGGATAGTAGCTCATAAAAAGTGCCTTAGGGGCCAGATTCACTCATGTAAAGCTCTGCCTAGATGTGGATCTTGCTTATGGTCCTTTGCAAATCACAGGCCTGCTAGAGCACACAGATGAGCAGACTGTCACATGGAAAATGCCTTTGAATATTGGCAGGCATAACATTTTTCCTTTCCCTCCCTTGTTCTCTCTAGTTCTGCCCGTTGCTTGGGGTATCTGATTAATGTCATGCTACTTAGTTCATCAACCAAATGCTTTCCAAGGAGGGAAGTTTAGAGTTGGAGGCTGGGGAAGAATATGAGGTTGTCTGTAGGGGAAAGGGGGAGAGAAGCAGCTGCAGGCTTGGGATTCTGCTAGCTACACACAGACTTGCCCTATAGAGAAATAAGCTACATCACTGCTGACATAAAAATGGGCTTTCAGGCTGAGCATCAGCTTGTCTTTTTCAAAGCATTCCTTTCTGAATTTCTTTGAACTTAAGTGCTACAGTGGTTTTGGTGCTGATTTTTGTCATACATGTCTGCTGCTTAAGATATTCCCAAAGTAATACTGACAGTGCACTGATCAAACAGGCACCTCTGAGGTGGTGTGAGCTGCAAGAAGCTTGGCAGGTATTCATGGAGCCAGTGAGTACATATAACTGAAGAAATTCTCTTCCAACATCAATCTCATCTTGACAGTCTGATGATACAGTGCTGGAAGTGCTAAGTCTAGGCATTGGTGCTAGGAGTTGATTCTTGTTGATCTTTTAAACTATACCATCTGCCTGTGTGGTACAGGACAAAGTTTTAGAGCTAGTAATGAAGTGTGTGATTGATACAGAGGACCTAAACTGTTCTTGGTCTTGAAGCAGCCCTGGTTTCTCTGGCTTTAAAGACTGAAAGTATTCTGTAAGCAAAAGTAATATCAGCAAAGTCAACGAGTACCTACAGCCCAGCAGTTGTTTGTTCTCCTTTGGGATCACTGTTCAGATGACAGGTTTTACAGGTTGCTTCCTTCAGAAAGGTTTTTTGTATGATGGTTGTGCAGTAATATCTCAAGGGAAGGTGCTGTGTCTGATCATAAAAGCTTAGGTTAGGTTAAGCTGCATGGGCACACTTCTGGAATAACATGATCTAGATAATGGGCAGCCTGCTAAAGTAGTCTTTTATATTATGTTTTTACAGCAGTTAGCTCCAGGAGCCCTGGATTTATGCTGTGCTGAAAGAATCTGCTTGATGCTGTCTCATGGAGATCTGTCAGCACCTGTGCTGTAAATCATTATAACTCGCCCTGCTCTTGCTCTGCATCCAAGCTGAAAGCCAGTGTGACATTTCAGCCACAAACTGAAGGGCTGTGAGAGCAAGGTGGGGCTGGAGGAGGAATCTTTCACTGCAATACGTTTTTCTTAAGCTGTACAGATGTGAGGAACCATAATCCCCAACCAGCAGGAGCTTATGGATACCCCCAGGGTGCAGTCCAGGTTCCCCATAGCTGCTTTGAGGTATTTAAAGTGGGTTTACACTCAAGTAGTTTGAGACTTGTGATTTTAATAATTACAAATCATTTCTCTTTTTGAGTCGAGGTTGCACCCATCTGCTGGGTGCAGCAGGCCTGCTGGGGGGGGTTTGGCTCTCTGTGCTATAAGCTGGTAGCTGTGCGTAGTTTGGGGTATGGCTTGCCCACACACCCCGGTGTTGAAGGGAGACAGTGGCACAAGGGCCATCTGGCTGTAGCAGGTCTAAGCAATGCTGCGTGCAGTAGTTGCTGTATGTGACTAATGTCATGTGTTCTCATGGTCCTGAAGCAGGGAATTTTATTCGCTGCCACATGGCAGTGTTGTGTTTGCTGGGTTTTTCCCTTGTTATGGTAGGAGGACCTGCTCTGCTTGTGGAGCTGAGTGGCTCATTGTACCAGCTGCTTTAGGCTGACTGCTAGTGGGGTTTGGGCAGAAGCCTATCAATTGTGGGGAGCTGAGCAGGTTATTGCCCTGCTGCTGAAGATGCTTTCTCCTGCCAGCTTTGCAGAGGCTCTGGAATAGCCCACTGCACCTCTTGCCCTTCCTCTGTGGCCCTGGCAGACCTCTGAGCACACAAAATGTGGGTGAGATGGTAGGAAGGATTTTCTGTGGAAGCTACCAGATCACCTTTATCAACTTCTGAGGAGGTGAAAGAGTGAATTGGGCTCTAATGCCGTGTTTTCTGAAGGTCTTGCAGGCTTCTGAGGCCTAGTTACAATCAGCTGGAATGCAATCACTTAGTGGTTTTGAAAGCAGGCCTTTTAAAATTGCTCTTAACCTTTCCCTGTGCACTCTCTCCAACCATCTGTCCCTCTCAGTTGAGCGTGGGTTGGACTTAATGCAACTGCATCATAACACATGCTTGCAACTCTCCAGCCCTTTTACCCTACTCAGCATTAATCTGAATTCATCAGTCTGCTCTTGGTCTGAATTATGCAAGTGGCAACATTGATTTACCTTTTATAATGCTGTAGACCCCCATTTGGCGGTCCATTAAGAGAGCATACTCTGGGTCTGTGCCAAGGCTGAGACCCTCCAATACACTGGAGCATGTGGGGCATGGATAAAACTGTATTGCTTACTTGGTTTTTGTGTATTACATGAGCACAGAAGAATAAAAAAATGTCTTGGTTTGGAGGGCTAAGCTGGTTGCTTCAGCCAGCAGTCCCTGTGGAGCGGTCCTAGAAGTATTCACAACATAGTTTTCATATGGAATTTCATCCTGTGTTTATTGCTGCAGGGGAAGGGAGGTGACACGTGATATCTGAGCTGGTTCACTGAACATAAATTGAACCTTGATAAACACAGACAGGGCAAATTTGAATCTGTTCATCATTTGCTAAATTGGGACAAAATTAATTTAGCTATTCTTCAAGGAACTGAGATTTTTATCCTTGTTCTTAAAGAATGGTCTTGGCATCTCACTCCTACAGTATTGCATTATGTGATGCTTATCACTGGGTGCATTTTGGTGTTTTCTGTAAGGGGCACAACATTGCTAACACCCAGCCTGGAGGAAGCTGTCTCTGTGCCAGTTCCAGAATGGTGCAATCTGGAGACAGCAGTTGTTCATGCACAGAAGAGCTGATCTGGGTGCATGTGTGGCTAATGTACAGATGGAGTCTGGTGAATTGATCACTATAATCAAGGTCTTAAGGCTGAACAGTTCAGTGTAAGCAGGGTATTACAGACCACTTTGGGGCACTGATATTTTTTCTACTTCTCCGTTTTTTTCAAAAAAATGAATAAAAGACCTCTTATAAAACATCTTGAGAGTCTTGCAAACTGCCTTGTTTTTAAGAGTATCTAGTTATTGTTGTCTCAGTTTAGCTGATATAGCAAGAAGATGCACTGATACCTGTGTACCAAGTATTACCAAACTCCTGCATCTCTTGTTTCCCTCCAAATGAGCCAAGAAAACAGGCAGCCTGCCCTTCACAGGAGCTAGCACAGGTCTTTTTTCATCATGTTTTCTTTGAGTCATGAGAGGTACACGATATTAATAGAATGTAAACTAAAATCAATCTGATGGTGGTGTTGGCCTGGAAATCAGACGGAAGATCAGTCACTCAAGGCAACTTCACTGTTCCTAAGTGGTAGTCACATGTGTGCAGAGCAGGCAAATGACTGCAGTGACACCTCTCCCCAGCTCCCTGCTTCATGGCAAGCTGCCAGTGACTTTTTGGACGCATTCTTACAGCGGGGCAAACAGTTCAGCTCATGACTTATCAAGTCTTGTCAAAAGCCATCTTAGTTACTTGACACAAGTAGTTGCACCTTCGCTGGGCTCTGCAGTGCCAGCAACTGGATACTGTAGCTGCAGATGATAAAGGATTAATAAGCTAGTCATGTGGTAAAGTGTTGATTGACTTGTAGCATAAAAGGTTTTCCCTTTCCTTTCTAAATTAAAACAGAAGGCTATGTACATCCAAACCAAATGGACTGACACGTGGACAGCCTGTGTATTTATATAATGCTGGGGGAAGGGAGGAAGGCTTGGAAAATCACAGGACACATGTTCTGCAGTGCACTGTCCATAGGGAACTTCCACAGCTGTTCTTGTGGTGGTAGAGCTGGGGAGGAGAGGGCATCTTCCCTATGGGAAGTGCTTCCTTTAGCATCTGCAGCCTAAATTCAGTGTTCAGCTTGTACACAAGTCAGATCAGTGATGGGAACCAAATCCTAATGGAAAGTAAAAGCAAGACCTCCATTAGGGGAGGTTAACAAGTAAACAAAACAAATGGGGAAAGGTGGCTTGGCGTTTCAGCTGTAAGAGCTGAACAGAGGAGGAAACCTTGGGGGAACAGGAGTTTGTTGAAGGGGGGAGGCAGTTTTTAATACAGTGCTCAACCTTTCTGCCATGGTGACAGCCCTCTGACAAAACCCATGCAACCCAGGAGCTTGACGTAAATCGCGGAGTCTGATTCTCATTAGTGCTTCGTCAGTAATATCCCCATCCAAACAGGCATTCGCTCGTGTTCCCTCATGACAGGGCTTGTTTATGCCCCAGTGAAGGACAATGACGTTGGCTGTTCGTTGTTCTCTTGGTGTGAATAGAGGCTGCCAGCCTCAGCGCTGCTCTGTGGTTTCTCTGTGTCTCTGAACCATGGAATCAAGTTTTCAACCCCCCCCCCCCCCCATCATTAGAATGCTCTTATTCCCCCCTTCAATGTGGGTTTAATTATTTGCCCTCTGCTCTCCTCCCCCTTTGCATTAGCTTGCTCTGTCGTTCTCTCTCCCTTTTATTTTCCAGCAGCAAACAAGTGCGTGGACTGTTTTGCTGTGTCATGTGACCAGCAGTCAAGATTAGAAAGGTATCTCTGTGCTCTAAGGCTTGCAACCTCTATTTTTATCCCCAGCTGCTGGAGCTGATAGCGAAGTCTCAGCTGACGTCACTGAGCGGCATTGCCCAGAAGAACTACATGAACATTTTGGAGAAAGTGGTGCAGAAAGGTAAGAGACAGGAGTGGGGAGGGGGAGGAGGAGGCGGATCCGATCTAACCTGCAGTCCTGTGGGGACCACATCCTTGAGAACAGCCAGGCAACACACCTGGTGTGGGTGAAGAGGGGCACCACTGCTTATTTCTGTAGGGCAGTTCTGTTTTCCCTTGGGGAAGGACAGGAGAAGGGGGCCAGTGGGAAACGCTGTATTACAGTAGGTATCTGAGGTGATTCCTCCTTTTCCTTGCTACCACCCCTTCTGCATCCTACTGAGTCCTATTTCTGACTGCAGAAGAGATGGGCTGCTCCTGCCCCCAGCCTATCTGCAGCCTCTGCTGCCGCCTTGTTGCCAGTTTGCTGTATCAAGTGCTCCTACTGCTCCAGAGGGAAGGAAAGCTCCAGAGCTGTCTTCACCTGCTAGGGGGGCTGAATGGTTGACATGTGGCACTTCCCTCCCTGATGCTGTAGCTCTGTCTGAAGGCTGGGATTTGAGAGCAGCCTCTTAGTATGTGTATACATAATGAGAAAGGAGATCCTGAGCTGTCTCCCTGCGCGTCAGCTGGGGTAGATGTGGAAGAGGTACACATGGATATCAGAGGGGAAAACTGGCTGCTTGCCAGTGGTGGGAAATGGGAAGTGATGCAGAAAGGGCAGATACTTCATCTGCTTATCCTGGAGGATCTCTTTCCATCTGTTGTCTAACCTACTGTGCCTGGCTAATGTTTTAAGTGCTTTCCTCTAAAAAGAAAAGCACAGGCTGGCTCTTCTGGCCTGTGGGGTTATAGCAGATAAATTGACCTGCCTGAGGAATGTATAGATTTAGAAAAGGATTTGGGCAGTTTCCAGTTTTAACCTTTCCTGTTCTTCCAAAGTCCTTGAAGATCAGCAGAACATCAGGCTAATACGGGAATTGCTGCAGACCCTCTATACATCTCTCTGCACGTTAGTTCAACGGGTTGGGAAGTCTGTCCTGGTTGGAAACATCAACATGTGGGTGCACAGGATGGAGAGTATTCTCCACTGGCAGCAGCAACTGAACAACATTCAGATCACCAGGGTAAGCACAAATCATGAAAGCTAAAAATAACGTGGCTCCTTTGTGAAACCTTCTCATGTAGCAGCTCTCACTTAGGTGACTGCATCTCACTGTACTCCCAAGTGCAAGCACAGAGTGCTGGGGAAGGACCTGGAGCTGCCAAAATAACTGGATGCATTCCTAACATTACTTGTGTCCCTTAAATCAAACTCAATGTACATGACCCAGGATCATGCTCGCTGTTGCTGGTCACAAACCCCATGGTTTGACTCCTTAATGGCTGTGAAATGTTGTGCAGACAAAGCTGGGCAGGAAACCACCTCGCTCACTTGAGAGTCCTCAGAGACTAAGCCTCAGTTTAAAAAGTCAGCTCAGTCTTTCTGAAACTGAGATGTTGTCATCAAAACCTGTTTATCAGATAGTTGAGGTTTTTAGATTTGCTCAATCTGTAAATTAAATGCAAATTTCCAAAGAGCTGTGCAACTTCGTGCTTCCTGGCTGAAAATGTCAGTGATTCTTCCAATAGTCTGGAGCTGCCTGTTCTAGCCAGATGAGTCCTGCTTTTACAATGTGTGTTTTCAGCAGTGTCTCTGTGGATGGGAAAGATGTATTGAGAAATTCCTAACCTGGCTTTGCATGGGAATAGTCTGAATTTGCTCCATTTCACAGAGTCACGGAAGGGTTGAGGTTGGAAAGGACCTCTGGAGGTAGTCTGGTCCAACACCCTTGCTCAAGCAAGGACATCTACAGCCAGTTGCCCAGGACCATGTCTAAACATTTTTTCCACTTGGAACGGATACCTACTCACAGGAATGATCAAGCTTTCCCCCAAGGCTGATCTCTGGTGTGCCCCTTGTAGGACTTAACTGTGGCGACCTGGACTGTGAAATTGGTAGGGCAGACCAAGGCATGGCTCAAGAGAATATAAAGAGCACCTTTTTCTCTGGGGGGTTAACCAGAGAGTCATTTACAAAGGATTAAGCAAAGGGCCTGTATTCATCACTTTTCCTGGAACACCCGGAAACAATTTCCAGTTGTTCCCTGAAGTGATGCAGGCAACAGGGCACGGGAGATGAACTCTGGGGAGTTTGAAGAGCTGCAAAAGCAGCAGTGCCTTATCTGGTGGTGGTCAGGGAGTCCCCACCTGCTGTCCCTCCCAGTGTGCAGCTTTTGGGATGGGCCTTGCAAGGGAAGCACTGACCCAGCTGTGAGGTGGCTCTGGGGCATAGCAGGTCCATGTGCTGGGGAGCTGCCCTGTGCCTGGGCACTGTCAGGCTCAGCTCACCTGGCCATCTGCTGCCCTGAGTGCTGCTTCCCTCTGCTTTAGGAACTCATAAAGGGCAGACAAGCATTTCAAAGAACTCTGTCTATCCAGACTAAAGTGCATCAAAATGTTGCTTGTGAACAGAACTCATTTCTGTGTACTTACATGTGTATTTAAAGGCACTTTTCTAAAATAAAATAGATGTTGAGCTTGCAAAACAAATTTCACCCCTGTGAAGATGACTTCAGGTCAAATTAGAACAAAACCAGCTGAGTTTAGAGGAAGGAAGAACAAGCTCAGCTCTGTGCAGCCAGTTGCTTACAGTGCCCTGAGTGCTTCTGGGGTTTCTGGAGGGGGGGAAATGTCTTGCAACAGCCAAGACCTAAACCTTTAAAATAAAGAAACTTGCAAAATATTGTGTGTTAAGAGTTGCTTTAAAACAAAAAGCAAGCTCTGTCCAGAAAGTGACAGCGAACTGCTCTGATCTCATCTGTGTTCCTTCTCCAAAATAAGTAATGTTTGAAAGTCCTGGAAAGGAGTACTGAGGGAAAAGAAGTAGCAGATAAGTCTTTGGCCCTGACTCGGGAAACTTGTAAGGATTTGCTTGAGTCACTCTGGTTTCTTCAGAAATAAGACATAAGCATGAGCTTTGGGGCTTTTTTGAGCCTCTGAGCTTAGTCTTTTCATGTTGTGCCATAGCAAAGCTTATATGTAGAGAGTGCAGGAGAATGGAAGGGAGATCAATGGGAGGTGATCCAGGCTTCAGTGCATTCTTCCTGCCTCAAGATACGACCTAGGCTGTCATGGGAAGAAATGTCTTCTGGAGATGGCAGAGACAGTTCACTCCTGGAGCGTTTCTTTCAGGCCTGTTGCTGGTGGAGGTAGCCAGAAATGATGCGTTTGAAAAACTGTGGCACTTGCAGGTACTGGGTAGTGCTGCATGGTTTGGACAGGCTGGCGATGAGGGCACTGAAGGGAAGGGGGGAGCTATTTGTGTACACACATACTTGTTGTGCCTGTGGAGTTTCACATGGGATGACCGGAGGTGGAACCACATGATTAAAAGCAGCTTCGTGCAGTGTTCCCCTGCTGATGGCGGGCCTCGTGCTTCTTGTTTGAAACAGTTAATAGCTCTGCCAATTGTGAGATGGGTGCTGTGACTCTGTGACTTAAAATAGCAGCATCTCTGTGCAGGGTAAATGATAAACTTGGCACATCTGTCTAACATTGTTTCTTCATTGGGACCTAATCCTAAAAGCTGCTGTTTGCCTTAATAAGGCTGGGGCTGGTTTTGGAGCAGTTGGAGTCCGGGTTGTGGTCCTTGCTGATGCTTTGCTCCCATGTGTGCCTTGAATTTCTCCCAAGTGCAGGGCCTGCGAATCTGTTGTGGTCAGTTTGTCCTGGAGCTGTGCCACCATGATGACCTACAAAACAGTCCTGCACCCCATGTAGACCAAGCAAAGGTGGATGGGGTGTGAAGGTGGCTTTTGTCTCTGTGGGCTAGGATGTGCTCTGGTGTGGCTGAACAGCCTAGAAAGCCATGGCTGCAGCTGATGGGAAAGGGGCAGGTCCTTCAAGTGTTCGCAAAGTTAGTCTTGCCAGCAGTGACCTGGGAAGACATGCAGGGAAAAACCCTGCTGTGGGTGCTCATCAGTCGCTGCTGTGGTTACAGCAGGGTCCTGTGACAACATAAGCTAAAACACATGTCAGAAGAGCATGAGATTCCCAGCAAGATGCATAACATGAGGCTGAACTTGAGAAGTAGAACTGATCTCCCTCATGGTGGAGAGACCTGGGTGGTTTATAGTTGATACCATGATGCAGCCAATGTCGTGCTGTAGTAAAAGCTGGTGGTGGTGCTTCTGGGAGCAGTATGGATGTGGGATGCACAAAAAGGGAAGGAGGAGGCTTGAACTGCAACTCTGCTTCTAACTACTATATTACATGTACATGGCCTCATCCTTGAAGGTATCTCAAACTGTTGTGGGGCAGAAGGTTAAATATCTCTATGTAAAATGTCTCCTTATTCAAAGAGGCAACTACAGCATTATCCTCTATGTGAAGAACAGTGCTAAGAAAGCAGTAACTCTGCTGCAGCATAGAATTGCTTGGGTTTTCAGCTTCCTGTGAACTCTTATTTTTGTCTGTCTCTTCCAGCCTGCCTTTAAAGGAACCACTTTCACAGACCTACCATTGTGTTTACAATTGAACATCATGCAGCGACTGAGTGATGGGAGAGACCTGGTTAGCCTTGGTCAGGTGGCTCCTGACCTGCAAGTGCTCAGCGAAGACCGGCTGCTGTGGAAGAAGCTCTGCCAGTACCACTTCACAGACAGACAGGTACTACCACCGCTTTGGTTGTTGTACCCCACTTGCAAGTGAATACATGGGTAGGACACTTTTAATTGACTCGCCTTGGATCTAAGTGCTGTGCCACAAGCTGATAATACAGACTGGCATGAGGATGGCTGTGAAGATGATTTATGTAGAGGGTTTTGCATGCCACAGAAATGATTCCTGAAACAGGAGCCTGAGGAATTAGTCATATGGTGAACTTCAACCCTAATCCAGGTAGTAACAACTGCAAGTCATGCTCCTCTCACCATGTGTGTGGGGAAAACGTGCAGGCAAGCTCCAGCCTGGACCCTGATGTCACAAGAACAGACACCCTCTGTGGATGTGGTCCATGAGCAATGAGTTGTACTGTCTTATGCTTTAGAGCAGGAAATCCCCTCTGAGCTGTTCTGTGAGTGACAGGACTATGCAGAAAACAGTCCTGTGGAAAACAGCCCTACCAGTACCCAAGTTTACATAAGGCAAACATCTTTAGCCCTTTACAAGCTGGTAATCATATAATTGCATGGCTGGGAAGTGTCCAACCCCCTGCCACTGACTGGGACACCTTCCACCAGACCTGGTTGCTCCAGGCTGTCCAAACTGGCCTTGAACACTGCCAGGGATGGGGCAGCCACAGCTTCTCTGAGCAACCTGTACCAGTGTCTTCACCATCCTCACAGTAAAGAACTTCTTCCTCATATCCAAGTCTACTCTCTTTCAGTTTAAAGCCATTACCTCTTGTCCTGTCACTACTTGCCGCTATAAAAAAGATCCCTCTTCAGATTTCTCATAGGCCCCCTTTAGGCGCTGGAAGCTGCTCTAAGGTGTCCCTGGAGCCTTCTCTTCTCCAGGCTGAACAAGCCCAATTCTCTCACCATAGCAGAGGAGCTCCAGCCCTCTGATCATCTTCATGGCCTCCTGGACTCATTCCAGCAGGTCCACGTCCTTATGTTGTGGGCTCCAGATCTGGGGTCTTCTAAACTTAAAACCAAAGTCCCTCTCTGTATTTATAGGTGAATGTCTGGGATGTTTATGCCAGACCTCAGCACTTCAGGGACCGTGTGCCACATCTCTCTGATTACTTGGCTTTATTTGCTTACTCTGAATCTGACTTTGGAAGTGACTCTGCGGAAGTTAATTCAAGTTCAGTCTCTGCAAGTAATGAACCCTTGAAGATGGGTGTTGCCCAGGCTCATGTGACAAATCATTGACTCTGCAAGTCAGTGAAGGAGCAAAATAACTTCCAAAACTTAAATGCAACTGTACTCACTGTCCTGCCAGCCAGAAACAGTGGCTAGAGTAGTGACAAAATAGCTCCCAGTGTTTCAGGATTCATATGGTAATGTTAATGAAATAGGAATAGACCCTGATAACAGTATTGGGTGAGGGTGTTGCCATCAGGAAGCTGGTTGTAGCTGGATATTCAGAGCAGGAGCTTTCTCAGGAACTGTTGTGGGACCTCACAAGGTTGCTAGGGAGAGAACATGAATTGGGAAGAACAAAGCATTATTTTTTTGACCTGCTACAGTTGTTGTTATTTTCTCTTCAGATTCGCAAACGGCTAATCTTATCTGACAAAGGGCAGCTGGATTGGAAAAAGATGTACTTCAAGCTCATAAGGTGTTACCCACGGAAGGAGCAGTATGGTGACACGCTGCAGCTCTGCAGGCACTGCCACATCCTCTCCTGGAAGGTATGAGGTGCTGGTGGGGCAAACTCGATTGGGGTGGGAGCACTGGGGCACCCAGTGCTTTGTCTGATTGCAGCTGGTTTGGGGTGCTGTTGTTCCTTTGCCTCCATAACCTGGTGTTTTCCTACATCTTAATCCTCCCTCAGCTGTTAAGGTCCTTTCTCCCCTATGCTTGAGATCCGATTTTTATGTTGAACAAAAGTAGTGGCCTTCAAGGCCAGAGGGGAGGGAAATGGGCATACTTTAGGGCTGCCTGCAGTAAATCACCTTAGCATTGCCAGAAACTCCTCCCACCCATTACATGGAGGTGGAGATCTTGGCAACACAATTAGCTGGCTACAGAACAGCCTAGACAAAAATCTGCTGGCTGCTGTGGTAGGGCAGGTCTCTAGTTAGACTTGTGCTGCTGATGGTAGGCTCCAGCCTCTCATCCCTCAGAAAAAGGGAAAAGAATGAACTGGATCTTTGCTGGTTTTATTTCCTGTGACTTGCCAGTAGCCCCTAATACACAAAGCTCAGTTCTGACTGCTTTGGAGAGTAGAAATATTATTCTGGGCTCTGCTCTGCTTGCAAGCAGGATATCTGGCAGGGGGCAGTGCTAAGTTGGCTGATGCTCTGGCACCCTTTCCACAATCTCTCTAAATGGAGTTGTTTTCTCCTTTCCCAGGGCACTGATCACCCCTGCACAGCCAACAACCCGGAGACTTGCTCCACCTCACTTTCGCCGCAAGACTTTATCAACTTGTTCAGGTTTTGAACTTGGGTCACCGCAGCTTATGCGATTCTTACAGGACACTTTATGCCACTGAGCTTGGACACTCCATTTGTAAATAGTGTAAATATTCATGTCTGTTTTGAAGCTCCTGAGTCAAGGAACAAGAGGATCTCGGAGATGAAAGGTGAAGTTGCTCACTGACGCACAGCACTTAAGGAATACAGACTTCCATAGGACTGGTGTATGTTGTACAGAGTCCCTTTTTTTATGATCAGAGTACAAGATACAGGGCAAAAAAAAATTCATGTTCTTGTTTTTAGAAGTTAAAAATGAAATTGCCCCTCAACCATTTGAGAACTCTTTTGGTTTGTTTCTTATAGAGAGAAAGCAATACGAGGCTAGGACTGTTGAACTGTTCCTCCATCTGGTTTTATTTAGCATACATATTTATAAATATGATGTTTTAAAACTATGAAAAATATCCCTGTGACAACTTTAACTTTCGTTTTTAAAGGACACATTCTGAAATGCATGGAACTCTAGCCTACTTGTGAGAGAGAATGGCAACATACTACTTTCTACCTCTAATAGATTGAGTACCTTTCAGACAAGAATCCAGTGTACAATGTGAACTTTTGTATTTTGTACAATGATTTAAAGGGAAATGTTTGTGATAGTAAGCATCTTTTCTTGTATTAATGCTTACCTCTTTACATTAGTTATCTTGCTCTGTGCTTGAATGCCTAGATGATAGGCACCATATAAATACCTAAGACTTTACTCCATCCTCTTTTAATTTGTTGGGTTTATGAAAGACTAAGCAAAAGGGGAAAGTGAAGCCATAAGGATGAAGATTATCTAAAAGGGAGGAAGTTCTATTATAGAGAAACAAAGGACTGGATTTAATCTCATCATGTAAAGACTTATCAACTCCACTAGGTTAATTACACTGGTTGAAATCCCAAGTGGGGTTAGAATCTGGTTCTTCAAGCCCATGTTTTCCAACACTGCTCTGTATTCCCACTGCTGTCAAGTGAATTCAGTCATCTTGGGGCAGGTAAAATACAGGGAGAACTGGACCATCCAATCTAGTGAAATTACGCGGTTTTTAGTCACTTGAGAACTGACAGCATCATTTAAGACTACTGGAGTTTAGGGTGATGAGCGAGACAGCATAGAATCATAGAATAGTTTGGGTTGGAAGGGACCTTCAGAAGTCATCTGGTCCAACCCCCATGAAGAAACTGGTCAGCATTTTCCTAAAAACAGCAGTCAAGACTGGGGTAATCAAGGGATTTCCAGCATGGCACTTGGCATCTTTGCTACTCACACAGAGAAATAACCAAAGACCCAGCCTAATCCCTTCCACTTCCAGTGCTGAGCTGCTTTATGGGATCATCTAACACCAGCCTAGAGCTAAACTTTCAATCCTATGGAGTAAGTGGCCAAACTGACTTCACTGTGGCCATGATCTGGCTCAACATCTCCTCTGTTGCACGCAATGATTCACTCTTCCGTAGAGTGGATCTCGAAGCATCCAGCTCATATCTAACAAGGTATGGAAGGGTTTTGCTGTTTGCCAGTAGATTTCCTGTATAGCACTTTCTCTGTGCTGATGTAAGCAGAATACCTTGGAAGGGTAAACATTTATGTGACTATGTACAAAGAACTGTGAGGAAGTGGAGTACTCAGGACAATTCAGGAAGAACTACTTGAGTTAATTATTGTTAACTATTCTGTTCCTTTTTTTACATTTTTATAACTGACTTTCCACACTTTTCTGGAGCTGTTTATATTAAAAATTGACAGTATTTGCATTTTTGCAAACTAAATCGCTTTGCATTTTCTTGGAAGAGATGCAAAAAGGGAAAAAAGCTGCCTCTAGATGGAGCACTGGGGAAATGGGGGAGGAAAACCAGGAAAATGCTGACAGGAGCTGCCCTTCTGCCTTCCAACAGCAAACCCAAGCTTTTGCTCTGTGAGCCTGTGCACCCTTAGCCATAGCCCAGAGCTTGGCACTCTCCAGAGATGAGGAGAAAACACGTGCAGCATAGAGAGCTTTGTCTTGGTGTTGATGCCCCATCCATCAGTTTGCTGGTGGAAAGCGTAAGCCTGCTGATCATACTCATGTCAACTGAAAGTGATTTAAAAGCTGTTACCTTGGAAAAATTAACTTGTGCTTGTTTGGAGGGACGTTTGAGTGAAGGAGGCCGGTTTGTTTTCATTCTCACACTGTGTGTTCATATTCATACCCACAGTGGGTAGATGAGGCTGAAATCTGGCTTTGTGAATGAGGATATTAAGGACAGAAACATGCAAGTGAAGTGAGTGAAGCACCGCCACTGTATTTGGAGATTGTTGTAGCTCCTTTTTCTAGAAGTGAGAGGATCTGTGCCCCTTGGCAGCATCTGTTTCCAGCTCTGACCTAGGGTGGCTTTGTTCCATTGTCTTGCCACCCATAGTGAGCCAACTTCACTATGGTTGATGGGAAGGCAGTACTACTTCACTATGAAATGCTGGGGGGGTTCTGCCTAGTCTGAGTCCATGCTTGGCAGATAACACTTATCCACTGTGAGATTGTGACACTGGGTGAATTTCAAGCTCAGGTTTGAATCCAGCCTAGTCCATTCCCTGGACAGCAAGACAAAATCTCAGCATTTAGCTGTGATTCAGGAATGTCTGAGCATTACTCATTGTCTCTATCAGCCCTTCGCCGCTCTTGAGCAAAGCGTTTACTCTGTGTCCTCTGCCCAGAGACCACAGGTTGTGCTCACAACATAATGTGCAACTGAGGCTCCTATGTATAAAACTTCAGTTAGAGGTGAGAGTTTTATTTATTAGCACTATATAAACTTAAAGGGTCAAAGAGGTGAAGATTATTTGTTAATACATACAAACGCTTGTGTGTTGCTCTTGTGAGGTCCTGAGATATTGCTCTCTGTGTCCAAAGCAGCAGAAAACCAAGCAACTACTGTGCTGGAGAACAAAATGGACTAAAGGAAACAGAATAAGCCTCACTCAGTTATTGCCTCAGTCATTACCCTTTGCTACAGCAAGAGTCACATGAGACCTTGATCTCTTTGGGAGACCCATTGTTTCTTGAAAGGCTGGTACAGGAAGATGTTGTGGTGAATTCAATACTCTTGTATTTCAGATGAAATGCTGTTGCATCCAGATACCTTAGTCCAACAACTTACAAACAAAGCGATCAGTATTTTAGCAGTGCACAGGCATCTGCTTGGCTGCGGATGGCAGAGTAACAGAACTGACAGCGATAACAGGGGCTTCCAGGCTGGGTGGTTTGAGGCTGCTCTCGTGCAAAAAGGACCTCTTTATTTTAAGACAATGGTGGCAAAGCTGTTGTGAAGGGAAAACAGACTTTTACTTGTATTTTGGAAATAGAATGTTCTTTTCAAATGACATTTCACCTTCCAGTCAGTGGAAGGAGGATTTTTTTTCCTCTCTTTTATTTTTTTCCTGCCAGCATATCCAAAGAAATCTCATTATCTTTAGAGGATGTGTTAACCAGTGCAGCAGTGTAGAACATGGTGTTGTGAAGAGGAAAAATAGATCTATGCAGGGAAAGGAGGCGGCTTAGGAAGGGAGAGATCCCAGAGATTGCAGTTCAGCTTTCTACAATAGGCAGGCATTTGGAGTTCATTTTAATGTGATAGCCACTTCAAGAGGCGTAATTTTAGCTGTACATACCTTAAGCCCTTTATACTAACTATGGTATGGTAAAGGTTGATCATAAAATGTGTACCTCCTCTTGTATTGTTTGGGTTTCTGTTTTTTAATTGTGGGAGTTTCTAGATCCTTTTATTTTGTAAAGTGCTTAGGAAGGCTTGTATTGCTCTGAAGATACTGCTTTGTATGTAAACATTTATTTGCACCCTGCCACTTTCTGTATATGGGAATATCTTTTGTATTCTTTTTCTTTGCCCCCAGGTTTTGAACTGTTTGTGTTCCCATTTCTGTTTGACTTCAATTACCTTTGCTAAGCTGTCACCTTCTACAACATATTCAGGTACTAAATCAGCTTTTCCTGCCCTGAAAATCCCTTGGCCCTTAGTAGCTAAAATGTGATGTAGAGCAGGAACATTTCAAATTCTCTTATGTAGCTCATAAATCAGATGTGCTGTTTCACACTTCTCTCCTGCTCAGGATAGCAAACCAGCATTGTCCTCTGCAGTTGCTCTTACAAACCCATTGCACAGTTTCCCCATAGATCAGCACTTTGCCAAAAAGACATAGCTTTAAATTAAAATGGCACTCTTCCTAGCTGGCCTGCTTGCAAAAACACACACCCTGTGGAGCTGATGGCTGGTTAGATTGATAAAGACTTGCTGTTAGAAGGTTTTGGTCTCTTGTGTTCTGCTTGTGCTGCTTTTCTCAGCTCATGGCTTATGATACTTGTTAAAGGTTCTGAAGACTGTCACACAAGCTGTCAGCCTGTGGCTGCTGAGCTGTGTGTCTTTACCTACCTTTAGGTGATAGACATCAGGTGCTGGTAATCAGCTTTGCAGGATCTGGCCCTAGGGAGAACAAATCCATCTTGTCCTTGACGCATGCAGTCTCTAGTATATTAATACCTTGAACATGACAGAGATTCTCCTCCACTGACCAAGCACTGCTGCTTCCCCTCCTGGGAGGCCAGCTGAGGGTGGAACTTGCATATTTGTTTTAGCCATTGTGTGCTGCACAGAATGCTAACGGGCCCGCTACCAAGAGAACATTTTAATTTGAAACAGCAAATACGCTCATCTTTAGGAACTAATCTGCAGTAATTATAAATACCTACTTATATATGGAAGGGAGCGTGTGTACTGCTTTGTTTTTCCTTAAAGCTGTAACTAGAGATGATATGAAGTGAAAGGCATCCCTTATATAAGACTTCTGTTTAATATTATTGTGTGGTTAAAATCCTTCCATTATAAATTTGCACTTTTTTTGAGTCTTCTCTTGCATGTTCAGCTCTGATTTTTACATCTGTTCTGTGCAGACAGTAATGTATTTTTGTAAAACATTTTTGACACTGAATTGCAATAAATGTTCAAACAATGTGAACCACAGAGCTGGTCGTCTCATTGCTTCGAAGCTGACCTTTCAGACTTCACGTTTCTGGTAACTATAAGCAACAGAGGAACATCCAGATGGAGGAACATCCAGAACTTGGGTTGTTGTGGCAGTTGAAGAGTATCCTGGATAGAGCTGTTGCTTCATTGGACCTTGAAGGAGATTGAGGTGAATGGAGCCCTTACTTCTAGCAAAAACATTGCTGATGTGGAGCTTGTGTTCTCTGGACACAGCACAGGAGTGATTATTGTCCCAAAAGAGATCACTACTGCTCACTCTGGTCTGATAGCTTCAACTCTAACCCGTGGCTTATGGAAATGTTGTTTTTCATGGACATGTTATCCAAATTACTGATTTTTATCTTTTTTTCAGTTACAATTGCATCTGGTTGGTCAGGACTGCAACAGGCTGACCCAGGCTCCTGCTCGGAGGGAATGCAAACAGGAACCTACTATAAGGACTCCCAGTAAATAGGGGGAACAGCAGTTGAAAAGGCAAATGAAACCCTTCAGGTTGGAAGAGGAGAAGTTACCATGGTAAAACAGGATTGCTTGCCTGATAAAAGCTATGGCAGCTATGAAAATAAGCATGAAATGCAGATGCTTGGGGTTTAATCTCATTTGCACTGTCAAGGTATGCTTGAGTGGTTTCACAGGTCTTTCTGTAGTTATGCTATGCCTCAGGTTTAGAGTTAGAGGGTTGCACCCCCAAGACACAAGGCTCTGGAAACAAGGGACAGTCTGCAAGATGACCAGAGCCTTTTAAACAAGGGGATGAGAGAGCTGTTAAGACATGTTTATTACACAAACTTCCTTGAAAATGTCCAATCCCATGTATTTTAATAGGCTCAGTCGTTAAAGGGGAATACTTTTTAGGAATATGGTGGGTGAGGTCTGTCTACAGTTCTCATATTCTCTGTGAATATGCTAATTATATATAATTCTCTATATTCTTCCCCTGAGAAGAGAAGGCTGCATGGAGACCTCACAGAAACCTTCCAGTATCCGAAGGGGGCCTATAAGGATGCTGGGGAGGGACTCTTCATTAGGGACTGTAGTGACAGGGCAAGGGGTAACGGGTTAAAACTTAAACAAGGGAAGTTTAGATTGGATATAAGGAAGAAATTCTTTACTGTAAAGGTGGTGAGGCACTGGAATAGGTTGCCCAGGGAGGTTGTGAATGCTCCATCCCTGGCAGTGTTCAAGACCAGGTTGGACAGAGCCTTGGATGACATGGTTTAGTGTGAGGTGTCCCTGCCCATGGCAGGGGGGTTAGAACTGGATGATCTTAAGGTCCTTTCCAACCCTAACTATTCTATGATTGTTCTTACTTCTGTGTTGTTGCCATTAATATCTCTACCTTTTAAGAGCACTCAGGGTAGCTGCTGAGGCAGCCAGAAGCATGGATGAGGTCACCGGATGGTTTGGGTTGAAAGGGACCTTAAAGCTCATCCAGTTCCAACCTCTGCCATGGTCAGGGACATCTTCCACTAGACCAGGTTGCTCCAAGGCCTGTCCAGCCTGGCCTTGAACACTGCCAGGGGTGGGGCAGCCACAGCTTCTCTGGACAACCTGTTCCACTTGGATCAGTAACCAGTCACCCTGTTAATTCCTTGAAGCATCCTCAATGGTTGGAGCCTAACAAAGGAGCAGAGTTTGGGCAAAAGGCATTTTGAAAAGCACACATCAAATATTAAGATCACAACTCTGCTTTGCTCCAGCTTTCCCCAGTTCTCAGTTCTACTTCTCTGCTTCACAAGGGGCGTGGGGTGAGCCCCTGTCAATCGTGTAGGGGTTTGCTTTATTTTTAACAAAACCTGAGCTGCTTCTGTCATCAGAATTGCAGGAATGGGAGAGCTGTTTTCTAAAAGGCTCTATAAATAGCTCGTGTGGGTTCAAAGGCCTTCCCGAAGCTGGAAAGAAACGAGTTCAGCCCTTGCCATTCTCGATGTGCAATATGCTGTGCTTTTTAGTAGAAAACAAACAAACTAATGTCTTTTTAATGCGTTTTCCTTGGATTGTTTTGGTCCTGCTTAGAACAGGCCTTGGATGCAGGAGGCAGCCCCAGCAGGTTTTGGGGTTGAGGTGCCAGAGACGATGTGGGGTGCTGTGGTCCTCCTGCAGCTGCTGGAGGGAAGGAGCCCACTGCCCTCTCCACACACAGGGTAAAAACCACCCCTGGGGGGGTTGTGTCTGTGGAAGAGAAATGCAGTCAATGCAGGAAATGCAAGTCCCTCCTCTTCACAGCATGGATTTCAACTGACTTTTACAGGGCTTTTGAGCACTGAGATAAGCTTGTTCTTACAGGCATATTATTTGTGAAGTACCTAAAAGGGTGTCTCTGTGGGTAATCAGTGATGGGAATGGTGTGTGTGACAGGTGACAGCCTAGAAGCCATCTCCGTCTCTGCCTGCTCCCAGGGCCAAGGTAGCTGCAGTTCTGTTTTCTCCTTGCTTTTCCCCAAAGCCTGTACTTTGTGAGGGGTTCAGCTCATGCTACAGGCCAGGAACCTCTCCTTCCTCCTGCCCTGGTGCAGCATCCCTGCCCACAGGAAGAGTGTCAGAGGAGGCTGTGCACCCACAGGGCCATTGCCAGGCTCAGCCTAGGGCCAGCATCCATCCCAACCACCATCCAGCTTGAGCCCATTGGGTCTGGTCATGCCTGAAGAAGTACTTAAATGCTGTGGAGTTTGGGCCCTAACACACTGCAGCCAACGTGAGGTGCCTCTTGGTACTGCTTTAACCCTTGGAGTATGGGGCACCCTCCTCGGCTGGGGGACATTCTGTCCACGGGTCTCCCATCAGACCCTGGCCATGGTTTTCAACGTGGGTTCTCTTCCAAATGACTTTCTCCCAACCTTATTATAGCTTTCCTAGTGAAGTGGAATTTATTCTTTCTTTTTTGGATATAGCCGGAGGTGTAAATCCAGACAAATATAACTCATGAAGGGGGATCAATGTGTCCCTGCTGCTTGTGTATATAAAGCAACCAGGAGCCTTTTTAAACGTCTGAAACTGAAGTTATTTTATTTGTTTTTTTTTTTCTTGCTTATAGACAATTAAATGGTTCTCCTTGAAAAGAGCTGGCTCCTGGTTGTAGGTAGAAACCTACAATCTTTCTCTTACCACACACTTTTATATATAAAGCCTCTATTTTTAACCCAATGGTGGGATTGAGGGTTAATGCTCGTTAGATCTGTGTCTAGACAGTTGTGAAAAACAGGAAATGAATTACATTATAGTACGAAGGGAGAATTTAACCTTTTCTCTCCTCGCAGACACATGTGACTGGGGAAAATATGTTAGTGCCGAGTGTTTTGGAAAGTTTAAGGAAGTAGAAAAATGAGAAGGGAAAAAAAAGAAACAGAGCTGGGCTTCCACAAGGCCACGTGGGAATTGTTTCATAGAAAATAATGAGCCAGGCTCTGCCCCCAGCTACACCCAGGCAGGAATTTGTTTCCTCCAGTCCCTGAGGAAAAGTTGTATTTTATTATTCCCTGCTTATGCTGAATGCACAGGAGCAACGAGCCAAGTGAACCACCTCATACACGTGTAGCTGTGAGGGAGCGGCCGCCATGCAGCACCCATCCTCGCACACGGAGCCAGGCAGAGCTGGTCTGGAACACCCCTGGGTGGAACAGCAGCACCTCACACCCCTTCTGCTCAGGCTGTCAAAGGCCCCAAGGTCATTTCTTTGGTATTTACAAAGTTCTTTATTCTTTGAGTTAAGAGACTGCAAAAATGCAACATTCCCTCCACTTGGCCCTTCTGGAAAGCAGGAGCCTGAGGGCTGGCTGACCCCAGGCTGCAGCACAGCAATGCTGCTCTGCTGTCAGCAGGGCAAGACCCGAGTTTTAAAGGAGTGTTGCAAAGAACCCAGGGCACAAATTAAGCCTGAACTATTGTGGGCAGCTGGTCTGCTTGGGAAGAGCTGGGAAGTGGAGGCCTGGGTGCTCTTTACTTACTTATACCCCTTACCCCTGCAAAATGGCTGCTGTTGGGATGTGTAACACACCATGATCAAAAGCAATGCTACAAGCACAGAATCAGAGAATCACAGAATGGTTTGAGTGGGAAAGGACGTTAACATCATTCAGTTCCAACCCCCTGCCATGGGCAAGGATGCCTCACCCCAAACCATGTCTCCCAACATGTCCAACCTGGTCTTGAACACCAACAGGGATGGAGCATTCACAACTTCCTTGGGCAACCCATTCCAGTGCCTCACCACCCAAACAGTAAAGAACTTCTTCCTTATATCCAATCTAAACTTCCCCTGTTGAAGTTTGAACCCGTTACCCCTTGTCCTATCACTACAGTCCCTAATGAAGAGTCCATCCCCAGCATCCCTATAGGCCCCCTTCAGATACTGGAAGGCTGCTATGAGGTCTCCACGCAGCCTTCTCTTCTCCAGG